AACTTTGTCTTCATTTATCCAGTCATGTACTTTTGTTTAGTTCTATTTAATACGCACATATCTCCCGTCAATCTTTAACATTCAGCACGCTAATATTACCTCAAAAATAACATAGTCCGTGCATTGCACGGGCAATAAACTAGTCATTTAAAAAGTGGCAAAGTATCTAAAATGTCAATCTCTTATAAAATCCTTCATGTACTAATTTTTTTTAAAAGGTACAAATACAAAATCTTATAAAAAAATCTTTCATTCACCCTAAGATTATGAAAAACTCTCATCAAAAAAGGAAAGAAATTTTTTCTCCACAGGTCAAGTTGTGCCTATACATACATGACTTATATTGAGCCGTTGAAAGGCAGGTTGTCCAAACTAACTCGATTTACATCTAATCATCGAAATTCTTTGATGAATAATCACAATTTAAGCTAATAAATATCTATGAAATGTAACAAGGCTGAAAATATATACCATTATATAGGGAATTCAAGCCAGTAACCTCTTGTCAATTGAAATCTTGCAAAATGCTCGCAAATCTTTAGCAAAGTGCATTGTCTGTTGCCATATCCATCTACTGTACGAACATATATATTGAAGGTCGCAACATACATGTGTAAGTTGCTAAATTTTAATAGTTTAATATAACAATAACCAGAAAAAAAAACCATCAAGTTTCCCTTCATTTTCCCATTTGCATTGTTTAATTTAATATCAATCAGAACCGATTTGATAGTTCAAATCTTTATGAAGTGATGAAAAATAACATGAGCATTTTACAAGCATGGTGAAGCGAAAGGACAATACAGTACTTACATTTCGAGAGCGAATCGAGAATGCTGTCTCACATTCCTGATGAGGATACCTGCTTTAATGTGTTAGCAATCTCTTCTGCTATTGCCTCTCCACTCACATAAGCGATAAGAGGACTGTCTTTTGGAACTATATCGTCTCTCAGGTAGCTTCCTGCTGTTCTGAGCAACTCCTCGGAACCTTTCTCCACAACCTCTTTCAGAATAATGGTTTTATAGGTCCCAGCAATCAATTCTTCGTAATCTGTGTCTCCAGTTTTACCAAGTATCACGTACATATTCGCTAAGTTCAACCGCCACCGGACCAAAAAGTACCTATAGATAGCGTTAATGGGGAGGAGAAACAACAATCAAAATCCAAGAACTTGATAAGATCTGATTCTAGTAAGAAATTAATGCATGGACATTTAACATTACTTTCTTGTTTGGTGATGTAATGGGACAGCAATTGAAAGTAATGGAAATGAAAAAGAAGCTAAAATATTGTCTAGTACTGCAAAGGAAAAATGCCTCGAAAGAATAGACTGTTAAAACTTCAACTCAAGTGAACCATTCAGAGGACGCATACCATATCAGAGAATATGCGAATGTAGAATTCAATTATTTGTAATATTAAAATGCCCCTTAAACCGTAAAATTCTACCTGAGAGCCTGTGAGCGAGATGCAAGGAGAGGAATAGCTTGTATTCTTGTGGAGTTTCTGCAATACATCAATTGGCAACGTAGTCCTCAAATTCTAAGCTTCTGCCTCATATCATCCACTTTTTTTGCCTGCAAAATTATATATCATCCAACTTAAAAGCTAATCTACCAAAAACCACAACTATTCAAGTTCAGATTCCTATTTCCTAAAACTTATTGGCGTGTATGGTAGGGAGGATGGGGATAGTATTGACAATATCAAGAAAAGAAAGTTAAAATCTTGCTTGTTTTACAATCTCATCCTATCCAATACTAGGTACCAAAGATGCACTATATTTACCTTATTAGAATCCTTTATTAAATAGGACAGGCAATGACAATTGCTAGATTTGGCATCTTCTTCAATAACAGCACCAGATTTGACATCATTTACTGACGTATTCATTAGTTTCCAAATGGTCTTCTTCAAACCATCTGAACCCCAACGATAATCAATATGTGATGCATAATCTGGATCCGGACAAGGCTTTTCACCGTCTTCATGGTAATACACTTCACAACCACTACTACAGATTAAAGCATCAAAATCGTTTACTTTAATATTCCCTGATTCCAAAAACTCAGTCAATTGCATTTTGTGCATCTATTTTAATGGCCTTAAACATATTTTGTATTATATGAATCATCTATTTTTCAGGTGCTCCATTGATATCATAGCAATCAAGTGCTATAATGATCAATTTACGACGCTTCCTCAACATTGGATATTTGCTTGAGATATTGTCAGTTGGTGGCATCCCATCAACTTTGTAATCTTGTGTACCCTTTTCTAGCCTTTTCATTTTACTCATGACGAGCTTAACTCGATCTTGCACATCAGGATTGTTCCCAATTGCAGGCACATCAGGTGATTCATTTAGCGATGTTTTCTCTCCATCAATGGATAGCCTTAGACATATCTTGCACGTCTTTAAGTGAATCATTCAGGGATTCTTCTGTTGCCAGATCGTCTGCTGAGGTATCAGTTTGCCAGTGCAGGTGCCTCATCCGACATGATGCAACCCTTGTCAAGTACGTTCGGCAATGTTCAGGCCATGAAAACAGATGTATGTTCTTCAAGCCATTCCTTCTGCACTCATTCCACAAGTTCTTTTCCGACACTAGCTTCAGCAGTGCATCAGCTATTGCTTGCTGATCATGAGGGTCAACAAGAAATCCATTGTTTAGTGCCTACATTATGTAAGAAAATTGGTCAAATGACAATTTTTACATTTTTATTTTACCACTCTTTTCCACTTATATAATTTCTACAAAAATGATCAAAGAGACTTCATTACAACCGTCTCATATAAAATGCATAAGCTCTTAGAGGGGGACCACTTTTATTTTATTAAACCTTTAACACACCTCCTCACGTGCAAGTCGGATTCATTTTTCCATCAAAGGTCTAAAACATGCACAATTGTTATAAATGAGTGATAACAAGACTCAAACCCTGTATCTTTAGTGGCTCTAATTTCATATTGAAACACTTCATCTAAGAACTTAAGAAAGGGATTAGATGCCTCAAGATATGTATAGTTCAACAAGGAGTTACTTTACCCGATGAATATCAACTGGACCACCATTCTTAGTTCCACCATTGGGAGTCCGTGCGCTGCAGCCTAAAGTATTCCAGACTCGGATATGAAAAACTAATTCTACGAAAAATGAAGTAATAGAAAAACAGTTGCTTGAAATAAA